CCACACATGTAGCCTCATCAAATTTGTTTCCCCAAATGTAGACATTCGATAATGTGGGGTTTGTTTTCATTGACTCTGAAAGTGCAACAAGTCCTTCTCCCTCTATGTTGTTGCTGACTACTGACAACCTATGAGAAACAAGAAGTAATAACCCTGAAAACCAATACATACTTCCACAAAGATGATGCGTAAGTTAGCCAAAAACATTTATTACATTTTATTGTGTAAAATCTTAGGAATTATATTAAAAATACTTAAGAATAATGCTAACTAAAATCCAAGAAACTTCATTTTCTAAGTGGATGCTTCATGTATCCAGTATAGTTAACTACATTTTAGAAACCAACAGCCTGTTTTATCTCATTCAGTAAATGTTTGGGGTGGATTACAAATACACCCTTCAGGATAAAATCATCCAATAATACTTTATTTTTTGTCTTGATCATATTATGATTTTTCTATAGAATTCAGGATAAATACTGTAGGCAGTAAGAATTTTCTCAATCTTAAGCAATCATAACTAGAATCAGTCTAATTTTTAATAGACATTACTTTTGAAAAAGAAATTGAAATGTCAGTTTAGAAACTTCTCATATTTCATCATGAATCTTGAGTTTTAAGGGGCTTGCGGTTAGTATTTTAAAAGTTTTTCTCTTATTTTGATTAAATATAAAACCATACTAACGCTCTAAGACTCCTGTTGTGTGAAGCAAGAGTTTCACTGAGATACTTTGTTCCTGCATTTTCTATTCTGTTAAAAGAAAGATCTAATACTTCCAGGGTAGTATTGCTTTTCAGTACATCAGCCAAACACACCATTCCATCACGAGTTATTTTATTGCAGCTGACATCAAGGTAGCGTAGGCTTCTATTCAGATACAGTGCATCACATAACTGTTTAATACCACAGTTCTTTATATTATGCTTACACATGTGTAGTTCAACAAGGCAGTGATTTTCTTTCAACATGTGGCCTAGATGAACTGTGGACTCTTCCTGTTCACCATACAGTATAGGTCGGTTTAGGTTTATTCCCTTAATTGTTTGGTTTTGAGTTAGGACTGTAGCCAATGCTATCACACTTTGCATTCCCAGATCACAGTCACCCAGATCTAATTTTTCTAAAGATGAATTAATTTGTAGCATTGCAGCAAAAAACATTCCGCCTTTATTTTCAATCTTGTTTCCAGTCATTCTTAGGTATTTCAGAGTTGCATTCTTATGTAGTGCTTTAGCAATCAGTTCTCCACCTTCGGGCCCAATATCATTAAACGTCAGGTTTAAGTAAATGAGGTTACGTTGTTTCACTACCGTCGGCCAGGGCCCAGGACGGATTAGGGGTCGTAGTGGGAGCGGGAAGGGAGGACCCGGGCCCCGCGCAGGCGGCCTCCTTCCCGCTGCCGCACATGCTCCTTTTCACTCCGAGGCCGCCGCGCAGGCGTTGTCATGACGACGGTGCGCATGCGCCTGCCCAGTCCCAGGCCCAATAGGAAAGATATCTTAACAATATTCTTTTCCCAGAAGGAAAGAGAGAAGAAAAGAAGGTTTGAACCTAAAGATCTGACCTCAGGTGAGGTCAAGGTCAGATTTCAGGGGAAACAGACTTTTCAATCCCTTCTTCACTTTCAACTGACATTCACTAATATTTTCTCCTTCCCACATTAAGGAAGAAAGA